AACCCCGGGCCTGGCTCCAGGGTGGGGCCCCAGCTGAGCCATGCCAGGAAACATCACGGTCCTTGATTTTAATCTATTCATAAAGGGCTTTTGAACCACTCTTAGTCTGACCCGTCACCCAGGACCTGTTTGCCTTGGGAGACCCTACCAGGGACATATAGCCCCCGACAACATAGCTCCTAGGATCACTTGGGTACTCAAACCCCTCCACCACAATAAGGTGGCGGTTCAAGGAGGGGGAGGGTTTAAACAGTATGTTTATCATTATGTAGTTAGTCCGTTACTGTTGTTTGATTTAGTATTTAAATTTTACTCACTCCAGTGTGTGTTAAATTGCTCTGGATTACAGATGCTGGAGCACAAAAAAAAAAATACAGATGGGGAGAGAAAGATGTAAGCTGAGAAAGTATGATTTGTGTTCTTATACTCTAGATGTAAGCTGAGAAAGTATGATTTGTGTTCTTATACTCTAAATTCTAAACTAGCTTCAGCTGTGTTAATACACATCAGTGTTGCAGTGAGAAGCGTCTCTTGTCTCTGCTATCAGTGCCAGTGTCAGTGTCCAGTAAAGACCTGTCTCAATGAATTAATAATGTTCCCTTTTGCCCAATGTGTCAGGGGAGCTCACTGTGAGCCTCATGAAAGAGCAGTAACAGATCAGATACCAGGCTAATAGACTGCTGAGAAAGAAGATGTGGTTTATTGTCAGTATTCATTTAAATGATTCAGTGACTCTCCCACAGTTTTCAGTTCTTTTATTTGCTTGTCTCCAGCTCAGCACTTAGAACACACTTACAGTTTCTCTCAAATCCAAACACTTTTGTGTGATTTTTCTGAGATGATATACAGTAAGCCCTAGTGACTGCATGTTTTATGTGAAGGTCGATCCGACTGGCAGTGGGTGGGTGGCAGCAGCTGATGCAGCTCTGTTCCTAAAGAGGTCAGGGTTGGCTGACCTGGTCCTAGGGAAGGTGAGCAGAGACTTAGCTGAGTGCAGAAGCAACATCTCTCCCCTTGACTTTAGTATTTATTTATTTGCTTTGGTAATAAATGTAAATGTCTCCATAGATCTGGGATTTGGCAGACTCTGAACGAAAGGGTTCTCTCAACAAACAGGTAAAAATACCTTGTGAAGTTGCATCCTTATGTCTTTTCTCTTTTATATGCATCAAGCCAGGTAATATACTGTACCTCTTTCCTCAGCAATTCTTCATAGCCTTGCGGTTGGTAGCTTGTGCTCAAAATGGCGTTGAGGTGGCAGTCAAGAGCCTGAATGTGGCTGTTCCTCCCCCCAAATTTGTAAGTCTGCACCTGTACACTTTCTCATAAGCTCTGTGCTACAAATGCTGCAGGTGTTCATTTGAAATGCACATTTAGTGCTTGAATTAAAGTTGATTTATTTATTTTTTTTATCTCGCTGCCATATTTCCCAAAAATATTATTTTCTGAATCCAAACATGGAAATACGGTTGACAGTTCTACTGCAACATAAGATGAACTGAATTGTGTTGATTTCCAGCATGACACAAGCAGCCCGCTGTTAGCAGGAGGCGTGACTGTTGACATACCCTGGGTTGTCAAGGTGAGGCACTGTTGAGTTTTTGTTTTTGCCTTACTAGTGGAACATAGCGATCTGTGTTTATTTGTGATTTGTATTGAATATCATTGTTTTTGTCCTAAGAGAACCACAATAGAAGAGAAGTCATTCACTGATTAAAGTATGTGTCCATCAAAGAGTATGGTCTTTGTGTTCATGTAAGATCTCACATAAATCAAGTCAGCTCAAATATCACTCGAGACATTTATAATAATAGTGTCAGTAGTCTTTGTTCATACACATTAGCCAAAAGTGAATTCTGAAGGCAAGTGTGCTTCTTGACACACACAACAGTAACAATTGACTTATTTTCACAGCTGACAGGCTGGAATTTCTCTGTTTGTTGATCTTTGTGGGAACATGTTACTGTATCATTTAACCAACAGTACCCTCGTATGTCTTTTATAGTAACTGCAATCATTTTCTTTTCCTCAGCCTCAAAACTGTGCACATCTATTTTGTTATTTTTTTCTTTCCCAGCCTGAGGAGAAGATGAAGTTTGACGCCATCTTTGACAGTCTGGGGCCAGTAGGAGGGATGCTAACGGGAGACAAGGTCAAGCCTGTCCTGCTCAACTCCAAGCTGCCAGTGGACATCCTGGGCAGGGTATGATTCTTTTAAGAAAGACACTTTTTATATTACTTCAGCCTACTGACAAAGTCATTAAAAAATAATCATGCATGCAAGTGGCAAAACTAAACGCGGAAACAAACAGAGATGAATTGTTACCAGTTTGTGCAGGTGTCCTTAAAATAACCTAAATAGTTCATTAAAACATCTCATACTAAATAAAAAGTGACAAATAGTAGAGACACTCTTACCTGGAATTTTATGTAATGCAATGTTTTTGATATATAAGAATCTAAATGACAATAAATTAAACATCACAATGCAGAAAAAAACAAGGATTTGTAATCAAATGTCAGTCGTATAATAAAATCAGAGGGAGTGAGAGCTGGTAGTGAGTCAGAGCCTTCAGTGATGCATCATATACTAGAGTTTTGTATTGATGCATGCTGAACAATAATATTTGTGTGTATTGAAGGTGTGGGAGCTCAGTGACCTCGACAGAGACGGCATGTTGGACAAGGATGAGTTTTCTGTGGTAAGAAATGAGCTTTGTACCATTTTGCCACATTCATCCTCTTATTATCTAAATCATATACTAGTTCTCTTGTACAAAAAGGTGGTTTCCCTTCTTTCCCTGGTATTAGAATATTTTTGCTACTGGAAAACATTTGAAGGGTTTTTTTTTTTTTTTTTGCTCATTTTTTGTTTGTGTGCAGTTGTATAATATGTGAAACCATTACAGGCTGTGAAATTAAAAAATAGTTTCTTTAGACCTGAATGGAACAAAGATCAAGACAAGGATGCAGACTTCACGCTTCTGAAGTGTGAGGACTCTGCAACTGCAGAATTGTTTATTAACTGTCTTTTATTACTGACTTTATGTTGTCCTTTCCCAGGCAATGTATCTGGTGTACAGAGCTCTCGAGGGGGAACCTGTTCCCATGTCCCTGCCCCCTCCCTTGGTTCCAGCCTCTAAGAGGAAAAAACCCTCAGTTCCTCCTGTGATGCCCCTGTTGCCCTCACCCCCCTCTGTCAAAGACAGCCGCTCCACCCACACTGGCTCTAAGGCCTTGCCGCACCCTCCAAAACCCACCCCAGCTCCTGTCACAGCACCACCAGCTGCCCCTGTAAGTATGGCACCTGTTTCTGCTATGCATGTAGTACCTGTAAAGCTTCTGGATGTTTTATTTTACTACAATGTAGCTGCAACAACAAATATTTGAAATGATTTCAAACTGGCTGGTTCAATGTGTTTTTCAAAAAAACCAAGATGAGGAAGAGTGAAGGTAAGTGAGTTTGAGTTAGTCTTGTGTCATCAGTGTAGGTTGTTGTCAGTTTTGTTATGAAGCTAGATAGAAGTCTGTTTTGTTGCATGTGCAGTGGGTGGTGTCACCAGCAGACAAAGCCAGGTATGATGAATTGTTCAACAAGACGGATGGAGACCTGGATGGGCTGGTGTCTGGAGCTGAAGTCAGAGACATTTTCCTTAAGACCGGGCTGCCTTCTGCCACACTAGCACGCATCTGGTAAGAAATGATGGCAAAGCTGCCTTTCACCTCCTCTGCCCCTCTATTACACCTTTTCAACCAAGGCACTTCTAGGGCTGTTTGGAGCCAATGCCTAATTTTGAACCAGTTCTTTGTGTTTTGGCAGCCAAAAAACTGCCCAGGAAAACTGGTTCTACCTTGGCACCAACTCTGTTGGTCTAGAACTAAGAACCACTTATGTCAGGAGCTGGGGACAGGATTATTGTGATCAAAGACCACCTAAAACTCTGTGGCTACCATTAAAAAAAAAAAAAACAACAACAAAAGAGTAGTGTAGTCTTGCCTAACCTTTAATACCAAAATAAAAACACGAGCTTCATTGATGTGAAATCAAAGCAGCAGTGGACTCAGGGGACAGCCTGTTAGTTAGCTAAAGCCTAAGGCTAACATCTTACTTTCAGTATTAATATGAATCAATCAAAACATATTATTCTTCTCCAATTTAACCACCATCCATAGAAATCATGATGAACAGCTCAAATGCATTGAACTAGTGTTTGGATTCCAATATAGACTCACAAAGCCAGGAGCAACACTACAAAGGAGACACCACAGAGAGACACTGAAGTTTGCCATTGTTGCTATTGCTCTTGGCGCTAGCATTACTGGCAAAGGAGAGGCGTACTCAGACGTATACAGTAACATAATTATGTGTCTCTGTTGTGGCTCTCTACCCCATGGAAAAGAAAACTGGGGAGTTAATTTAAAACTTTTTCTTTCTTTTAAAAGTAAAATTAATTAATTTATAATTCCCAACATCACTAGTTCCTTTCAAGGTTTCTTAAAACCCTCCGTCCTCACTGTTTAGATTTGGATCCCCCCCATAAAAATATTTAGCAGGAAGAAGGGGAAGAAACCTCAGCAACAGAAGAGGGACCTGCTGTCAGAACAGACATGCATGCAGCAGATGTTGAGAGCAGATAGAGTCAAAGGCACTGTGATTATTAATTTAATAATATTTGGAGTGAACTTGCACAGTACTTGTGATGATGGGGCAGAAAAATATTAGCAGTTTACAGAACACTGCAGTGTATGTCCTACCACTAGAATATCACAGCAAATTGATTTGTATCTTCACAGAGTTGATTAGTTTGTCCTGTCGTGACCATCCTGTATATTACGTCTCCATAACTGCTGTACATGATCATCAGCCAGGCCATCAAAATCAGTCTTTGCCTGAGGTGTAAATCGTTATTTTCTTATTTAACTTCTGTCTGTTCTCTCAGGGAGCTCTGTGACATTGGAGACATTGGGAAACTGACCCGAGACCAGTTTGCCCTGGCTCTTCATCTAATCAATCAGAAGCTGGCTAAAGGCCTGGACCCTCCACAGAGCCTCTCCCCAGAGATGATCCCTCCATCTGACAGACAAAACATCAAACTGGTGAGTTGCTCTTGTGAAGTTTTGTGAAGTATTTTGGAATCCATCAGCAGCACCACTTTTTGTAGATACAAACAAAAGCTCAAAGTTTGTTTGGTTTATTTCAAAAGTGAGTTTGTTGCATTTGCCACTTTCTTTACATTAGAGAACAAAGTGAAATCAGTTACAGCAGATGTATTTCAACATAAGACACAGAGCTGCTCTCTCTGTGTAGCTTTGTATTATCCTCACATTACCATTACGCTCATGTCAATCTCCCTCCCATCCTTGCTGGTTGTGTCTCCATCTGTGGCTTCAGGTGTAGCTTTTGCAAAGCCATCAGTGAAGCAGTGTTTATTTGTTGTGCTGAGCCGTGACTGTTTTATCTTCCACTGTAATATGTCCTAGGTATCCAAGTTTTTTTTTGTTGTTGTTTTTTTTAAATCAACATATGAGTAATTTGCCTTTCTCTCTCAGTGTCGCAAAATGAGTCTATACCATGTATGTGATGAGAGTAAGTCTTAGCCTAGAGTGGAAGTAGCTGTAAAAATCAGGGTAATGTTTTACCTGTAGTAAAGAGCTTAAATTAGCTCTTTAACAGTCGTCTGTCTTGTTCCCTCTCCAGAACAGTGCGGCCAACCTGGCCGCCGACTTCTCTGCCATCAAGGAGCTGGACTCACTCAGTAACGAGATAGTCGAACTTCAAAGGTAATCTTTGGATCTTAAATTCATTTCAAAATGGAAAACACCATGCATATTCTTGCTGAAGCTATATTGGTGCAGGTTATGGCACTGGTGGTGACAAGAGGTAACCTAAAGACTGTCCTTACTTAGTTTCCAAGACATGCCTTAGAGATGATGAGCCAGTATTTTGACATTAGTTTTATTAGGCCAAAAGATTTATTTTTAGTGTGTGTATCTCACGCTCACAAAATGATCAGTCTTGCAGCCCTAGTTCAGAGGTTGTTGATGGCCTGTGGAAGAAGCTCTGAAGCACAGATGTTAAGTATCCAAAGTATTGGAAGTCATATTTATGTGCAACTGTATGAATGTAGAGTTTGCGGCAGTTTAGATGGGCTGCAAAAATAAATGGTTTAAATCAGGAATGTGGAAGTGTTGGTGGTCCCAGCTAAGCTTGGTACTTATGAACTACACTGCAAGGAAGAGTTTAATAATGATACAGTCATGCTCTCAGACTTTCTTGGAACACTCATTCCCAGCATTAGTGAAAATAAATGGGCATTTGTAATTTTTCTGCAAGCTACTGACACAGCAGATGGCTATAAAGCTGAGTTACATAGCTTATGCCTGACAGTGATGTGGAGGGAGGAGAGTGTTGGGCAGAAAACAACACTTCTTCTATTCACCTTCCCCTGCTTTGTTTCACTGTTTTTTAACTGTTCAGATACTTGGTCTCCAAAATATCTAGCAAAAAATGTTTCTAAAGGTTATATGATTGTGTCACATATGTTTATTTTACATTTAACTTCTGTTAGGAAAAGAGACAAGATTAAAAAGTCTCATTTCTGCTTCACAACATCTTGTGTAACACAGTACTTTTCAGTAACAGATGTAATATTTTTCACTAATGATTCAGTTTTCTTTATCTTTCATTTACATTTTCTTCACCACTTTTTAGGCAAGATCTGAACAGAAAATCTTTTTTCATAGCATTTACATGTCATCTCTGTTTCACTGGTGGATTATCAGTATCACCAGTTGTGGATTTATTTTCACAACTTAATAGAATTTGGGTTCCCTATTTAAGAAAGCTGAGAGTGAGAAGTGAGAAAGTGTAGTTCCACCTCTTTGGACACACACACACACACACACACACACACACACACACTAGATGACAGCTGTTTGAGGTCGGGAAGTGAAATAAGAAAGATGGCTAACAGTAGAAACTGAGTGACAGAGAGCACAGCTTCAGACTGGGAGTTGATCAAGAGAAACGATGATGCATATTTGTGACTGCTTCAAAATGTGGCAGCAGCCTTCTGCTCAAGATGAAGAGGAGGGTGCTGATGAAGATGATGATGGGTAAGAGGAGATTTGGATACTTAGCTTGAGTTGAATGCAGATTTGCTCAAGGAGTGTGTTTTGAAATAAGAAGAGAATGTGGAAAATGTATGCCATGTTGAACATTTGTAGTTATTTTTAGTCTGATGAAAAGTTGATGGCTGTTTAATTCAGTCATCTAAAAGTGAAACTGAACAGAAATAATGTGCTTGTACACGATAAATGTACATAATGTATGCATAATTTTTGTCTTAAGTGTGCGATACCTTTTTCAGACTGAAACATGAGCAGTTTCGCCTAGCCTAGCCCTAGCATGAGGTTGTCCTAAACAAAACAGTACCATTACATTCTCATAGGCTGAAGTGCACATGTTGACTATGTGAATAAACAATGCAGCAGCCTTGTGAAAACTACAGAAATGGATACAAGGGTGGATCAAGTACAAGAATTGCACTTAAAAATAAAATTTAAATAATACCACTATGTTTCAGTACATGCCCTGATGCCTACTGTTTTACTGAAAATCATTTTTAAATCAAAGTTTTGGTCTGGATATTTATTTAGGTGCCTCAATTTGCCTTTGGTATCCCTATTAATGCACTGTTTACAAATGTTGAGGTAAAAATGTTGGATAGGTTTGAGAGCAATTCCAGTGCAGTATAATACTGGGTTTTCTGTCAGCTTGAAATGGATGTTGTCCATACTGAGACTTAGTTCATGGCTAAACTCACAGTTGTACCTATGCACTGTGATCAGTTGTTGTCAGTGATAATGTATAATGATTTGAGAGACAATGTGCTGAGCACCCTGACTATAGCACAGTAAGCACAGCACACCTGCTATATATATGGAACTGAAATAGTTCCAGACTTGTGTTCTTTTTTTATTATTAGCAGTTCTGAAAACAAATCAAAGTTATAATTGTCAGTTGATACACAAGTAATCATATGTCCCTTATCCTCAGCCCACCCTGTTCTTTCCTCTGTCTGTCATGGTGGATGAAACAGTGAGGTAGAGGGGATGAGCACACAGGCAGCACAGATGATACATCATGATTCATCATCACTCTTCCCTCCTCCCTCTCTTCCTCCCTCCATCCTCAAGCCAGCCATCTGCTGCTCACTCCTCATCTCCCATACATTTGACCAAGCAAGCACATGCTCACTTTCCCCAACACTCACCATCGTTGTGCTTTTATCACTGTGCATCTGCAGCTGTACAGTCTTACACCCACTCACCTTTCTACTTATTGCAACTCACACAGGCGCACGTAGCTACAGGCGTTTTAAGTGGCTCACCATACTGTGGAGCTGTATTTTCAGGACATCATAGTTATTCAAGGAGAGGAGAAGGTTCAGGGGCAGGTGAAGAAGTCAGCAGAGAGCTGGCTCAGGCTGGGTGGGCTTAGAGTACCAGGTCTACCGTCTCTGTCCTCACAGTGGCTAAATACTCCTGTTTGTTGTGCTGGACACCCAGAGAGAAGAGCTCTGTGGAAGATGAGATCAAGGAGAAGGAGGAGGCCATCAGACAGCGCAGCAACGAAGTGCAGGTAAGGACACACTATCTCTTGGACTTCATGCAGCTGTCTCACTTGCCTGGCTAGTGCCAGCTCATTTTTGTGCCAAAGTTACTCCTGGACTCTACTACTTAAAGAAGGACTTGATGGTGATTTTTAACCACTACCAATTTCAAACTGGGACTTAACCAGATGTGAGCAGCATGAGTGTTTTTGATCTTTTCAGTCCACACCGACCTCCGTACAGCGTCTCTCGTCAGAGCTGCTGTCTGTCAGCAGGAGGACAGTGCGGTCTTCACCTGGCTGACGACAGCAGAAATGTAGTGGACAATAATAGTTTTCATGTAGGCTCGTCAGCAAGGAATCAACAGCATTGACATGTATGGATTTATTAATTGTATTAATTTTCCTATCTTGCTACAAAGTACAGGGGGCAAAATAAAAACCAGAAAGCTCACAGTGATAGCAGGAGCCTGATCCATCAGAAGAGATTCAAGTAAAACGTTTCCAACACATAGTCTATCAGGTGATCTACCTGGTTTAAGTTGCTATCTGTGGTGATTACACTTCAAATGTGCCAAAAAAAAAAGACTCAAAGTGTTCCAGGTTTGGCATGTGTGTCTCCAAGTCAGTGTGGATTGGCCCATTTGATAGATTGGAAGTCTGTTTCATGGGACAGGCAAGTGACATATAAAAGTTGTGATGACAGCATCGCGGAGATGTTACATCTGTCCACTGTTTCTGCAGTGAGAGCAGATGTCTGTGCGTAACCTGTTTATTTTGCATTTGCACCCAGTGCAACCTCTAAAAACAGTCATACCTTAAATAAATTTGGTCGCCAAATGCAAGTAATCATTCGCAGTCTGGAGCTCTGGTGGCTATTGTAAAGTAGGTGTATGAGCATAAATTTATTTCTGCAACTTCTACAGATGGTAAGACCCACAGGTGATGAGTCAGTTGTTTACCTGTGTTTTGATGAATATACTGGAGAAGGAGATAAATAATATGTTTTTTCAGAAACACAGTTAATGTTGCTCAGAGAGGGTGAGGCTGGTGTCCTTGTGTAGGTGTGTCAACCTCCTCTGAGCCTGAGGAATGGGTTCTATTTTAGGAACTGGTGTTCTGCAGGGTGGCACCTATTTCCTCCTGTTTCACCTTTGCTTTGATATGTACAGGACTTGCAAGATGAGGTAGCGAGAGAGAGCGAAGAGCTACAACGGCTTCAGGCTCAGCGGGTTAAGGTCCAGGAGGCTTTGGAGGAGTTAGACCAACAGAAGAGCTCCCTGGAGGAGCAGCTGGCTCATATTCGACAGCAGACTAGCCAAGAGACCCAACTGGTACGCCTTCTAGGTTTTTATTTGATGGCAGACTCAATCGTGTCAATACTGAAAGCTACTGTATATTATTTAAAAAAAAAAATCATTAACTGGCAGAGGACATCATTAATTTTAATTGCTAACATAATCCATTCACATGACTCTGAACTCCGGAGTCACATGACTGCCAGTTTGTTCAAAATGGTGATATCTATATTAGATCTCGTCACTGCAGTCGGAGCATGAGGAGCAGGAGCAGAGAATATGTCAGTATGAAGAGGAGCTGGTCCAGGCCAGAGAAGAGCTCCTCGCTCTGCAGGAGGAGAGCAGGAGGCTGCAGGAGAAGGTCCAGGCTGCTCAGGAGCAGCTCACACCCCTGCAGGACTCTGTGCGAGACTCCTTTGCACAAGTTGCACAGGTCGGTTTGTTTGCATCTCTGTATGTCTCACAGGCATAAAGATTCTTTTCTCTCTGCAGCTTGTAGACCACAGGTAATAAAATAAATGTTCTCTTTGCTCTTTC